ACTACGGATGTCTTCGGTTTCGCCGTTGGGTACAATAGATCATTGGATATCTGAGTCACAGCAGTGAGATTTTGGGGGAAGGGTGGAGCGTGGTCAAGTAAGTAATCACACGCGTAGAAGTTACTGTCCACCTGTTCCCGCAGGAGCGGCTGCAGTTTCTCATTCAACAGCGTGGAAGATGTCGGTCAGACTCTGCGATTGCATCGCGCGATAAAGTCGCTCTTGCAATGTGCACAAGCGAAGCGATTGTGTTGCACGATGCAATCGCTCTAGGCAGAGCGACTGCATCGCGTCTAAATAAGTATTCCTAATGGTCGTAGTACCGGATCAGAAAATAGAACACATTTAACCAGTAGGAAATGGCGTTTCGGTGGTTAGACCCTTGTGTTCATAGTTAGAATCGGCTGCGCGTCATTACAACATAGTATAAGGCTGTTGCAAAAATTCCCAAACTAAGTCAGGACTCATGGGAATCTATGTTTATTAACAAAAAAAAACCCAAACACGTTTATCAAAGTGTGCGCCACCACAATCAGTAACTTGGCCATCTCTCCGGCAATAATCGATGCCTCGGTTCAACAACTGATCATCCCTTAATTCAAAAAAATCAGTCAAGCTTGTGCGAACTGCTTTGATGTTGGCGAACTTCCTGTTGCGCAAATGGTGCTCTTACGATTTGAACAAGTGGTAGTCTGACGGCGACAAGTCCGATGAGTACGGCGTAGGTTTGAGCCATTCCCATCCCATTTCATGAAGCTGTTTGGGTTTGACGGGAATGTGAAGTTCTGCGTTATCGCAAAATGACAGGGCAACGACGACGATCAAATGGTTGTCGGCATAGCTCCAGTCGTTTAGAGTAGACCTCAGCATTCACGGTGGATCCTTAATCAATGAGGTCCCAGTTAATGAGTTCGTGTCGTATCCAAAAACTGGTCACCATCATTTTGCGCTGAGGAAAGTCACGTCAGGTCGAGGTGTTTGAATTGGTCATTGCCCAGGCGATAGCCCCTGATTGATTGAGCCCCCCCCCACGATGTGGACTAGCAAATGAAATCCGCTTCTCATTCGTAGTCGCTATGTCGCAAAAGGGCTGTTGGCGTTGACGACGATTGAATTGACACCCAATTGAAGTTTGTGAAACAGCATGTTGCAAATAATGTCTTGTCGGTTCCACCATTGGAGGAGCGTTCGAAAGGTTCACCAAAAGATGCGCAAGAAAGTTATGCACATGGCAGCTTAAAAAGAAATCTTTTCATGGTAAGATTATAAATCTAGGACTCAGTCTGGAAACTTATACATAGCACTGTGCAGTGCTGACGACTGAGGCCAACCCACAAATCGCCTAAACGTTCTGGGACTGTATTGCTAGTATATCTGGCGCTTTATTGGGAACGCTGAAGTTTTCTGTTTCCATTCATTTCACAAATTTCACACTCGCACATAGTATGGAAGCAGCTTAAAGCGAGAGATTACGATAAAGTGTGTGTGCAGCGTGGAAGTACATGCACCATGGAAGCAGTAGTCAGGGGCCCAAGGAAGCGAAATGTGGCGTTTTTGTGGCCAAAGGTGCGCTAGCTGCAGCGTACTGGGCTTGCCATTCCTTTCTGAGCTCCGCCACGGCCTGTGCTCCGCCCCCAGCAGCAGCGTCCTTCGATTATCGTTTTGATGAGGTATTCCGCTTGAGTGCGTATCCTATAACTTTCCCATGGAACGCGTTACCAATCAAAGCATGGCCTTTGCTGGTATGATGGTGGCTATCGGTTTAACATGTGCAAACGACCTCAGTTGGTTGCTAGCTCGTCCATTATCGGAGGTCAACGGGCAAAGAAAGGGGTCCCATTTTGCGCGTTCTTGACGGATTTCTTTGCTTTTTTCGCCACTGGGGCATTATTCAGCATCTCCACTTCCACTATGAACCCAGTCCAATCTTATCGTAATCCCTCGCTTTAAGGGATAAGTGAATCGAATTGACACCTTTGATATCTTTCGCCTAGCAGCCAACACAGAACTGTTCCTAGTGAAGGCACTCCAAGAACCAAGTGGAAGCATTCCCGTCGCCAGCATTTGTGACAGATGTCCGGCGGTACTTTGAACGCGTAGCAGCCCTTTCGGTTTTTCGAATTTTTTTACCAAAACAAATGCAATTTTTCTGTTCTTTTCATTCTTATCGTGGATGATGAGTCTCAAGCCAGTGATTTATGGCTGAAATAGAATCATGATTTTTCCGTGAAGAATTCCTTTAAGTCTCCAACTCACCTCCTTCTGCACATCCTACTCACCCTCTTCCATTCCTTAACAATTTCCGTCGTCATCGAGCTGGAGGAAGGAATAAGGGGATGTGATAAAATTGAGACTAAACGCTTCTGAAAATTTCCTAACTTTCTGGATTCCCTTGGTTCCTTATGGAACTGAATCTTTTTAGTGCTTCCGATATTTCTTTAAACCCTCACTAAGGGCGCATGCATAGTCGCTCTTTCGATCGTTGAAAAACTGCCGATTAGAGCACCTACGACTAGTCTCAGCTAGGCTTGAACTTATAAACGTTCCTTCGTAATTGTGAGCTTGTCTATTTTCTGCAGTAATCAAGCAGTAACTCAATAGGATCCGAGGACGACAAAACATCCTTCATCACAGAGCTGATCCTTCCTGTTTTGGGAAGCCATGTGATAACTATCCTCCAAATTGAGGATCACACATCGGGAACTAAGTAGTTTAACTAATTGTAGCGCATTTGAAAGTTTTTTCGTATTCTTCATAGGCCTTTGCGCAGCCAGCAACGGGAAGTAGTCTCCAAAAGTAGCCGCGAGCACTGCTTTGCGACATGCCGCGACCATCGTTATGGACGAGTTGCCTCGCCGCTCATCGTGTGCTCGTAATTTTCTATCCTGGCCATGATGGTATTTCGTTTAATTCGATTACTAGTTGATGTGATCCACTCTTTTTAGTTCAACAGTTTCTTTTCTCCCTGTTTTTGAGTGGCCATGGTAGCAGTCCTTGGGCATTTGAATTACCTGGAAGATACTTGTTGTGCAAGTGATTCAATATTTCGAAAAAAAAGTGGAGTAAGAATTCAATTCCTTTCCTTCTAACGGGAAGTTTTGAAAATGTTGAGAAGTTCACTGGTAGCTAGAATATGGTGATGGCATTTGCCGATAACTTTTTGTCCTACTTTCGGACTTCGCCGATGATCGTTTCTGCGTGATTCGGGAAAGAAATGGCTGGCTGAAATTCGTCAGAACGCATTTTAAGGGATGTTGTTATATGTAATGTTGGTCAACTCTAGTTAATAAGCCTTTCCCGTTTTGTTTTCCGGTTATTGGTGCTACTGTTAACGCTTATTGGTGCTCCCGTTGTAATGTTCAACCTACCTGCAATTCACGTTTTCCGAAAAGCTGTAGTAGAACACTTCTTCATACCCTAATCAACTTAGTAATGTATTGTGTAGTGGAATTTTGTGCTCATTTTTTGCTTTTTGCTCATTTGCCTATTGTTGAAATTGTTCATCATGAATTTTCCTTTTCACTGATGCAATTATTTTTAGGAGAAAATGGCTGATATGGATGTTGATTCATCATCACCAGTCCAATCACAAGAAAACGGTTTGATCTAGTAGTTGCTCTAATGGTTTGACATGCCACACATTGAATCTTCTGTTTAGGTAACAGTCATGACCAAACGGTCGAATTTTCTGTAGCATTGCCACCTTCTGCAACACAAAACGCAGCCAGCGAGCCTGCAGCAGCTGAAGCGGGTTCAGCAGCTCCCACACCGGCTCCAAGTGTTACTGCACCTGCTCCAGTTACAGAAGCTCCTGCATCCGCTCCTTCTGTGCATGCTGAAGTGTTAGTAGCAATGCCGGTTCTGCAGCAACATGGTGACGTAAGTAGTGAAATATTGACTGCTGCCACGGTTTCAATTTTTTCGACCAGATCGTTCAATATTTTCTCTGCAGGTGTTCGTTGGTCCAGGATCGAAGCGGGAAGCACAACTGTTGGGTTTGGGTCTCACAAAATTGAGTTCGAGAAGGAAGGACGATCTCCATCTTGCGAAGAGATATGCTATGGATTTGTCAATCAAGCAGATTATGCTACGGCAACAGAAAGCCCATCATGAAAACGTAATGTTTTTTCTAGTTGTAGCTATCGTCATCATTACAACCTTGAAATTTTAGCAACAAAAGCAAGCTATGTATGCTCAAGCGCTGTCCCTTATGGCTCGTGTTTATATTGGATCGATTTCGTTCGAAGTCAGAGAAGAAATGATCAAAAAAGCTTTCGAAGTTTATGGACCGATCAAGAGTATCAATATGAGCTGGGATCCCACCACGGGCGTACGTGAATCAAATGTTTTGTTCTCTTTCCCTTTGATTACTTGCTTCTATTGTTGTTGTTATAACTGCTTCACCTTTGCAGCATCACAAAGGATTCGCGTTCCTGGAATTCGACGTTCCGGAGGCTGCACTGCTAGCACAAGAGTCGATGAATGGCCAGCTTATGGGTGGAAGAAATCTCAAGGTATTAGAGAATTTTTTCTGCAGTTTTCGTCTGAAGAAAGTTGGGTAAAGAACAAAAGGGGTCATTACACAGCTGTTTTTTCTGATCCGTTTAGATTGCATGGTCTTGTGATGAAAAGCTTCTGAAGCGTGACAAAGAGGAGTAATTTCCAGTCGGCCCGTATTGGCGAGGTTTAGTCTCACAACAGTCCTTTCTTGGATAGAGGTGTTAGGTGCACCACCGCGGTGGTTGCGCCATTTCCCCTCGCCCTCGTCGGTCGCTAAGGCTGTACTGCAGTGTACTTTTGCAGTTCGGTTCACAGTTGAGTATAGAGTAGATGCGTTTCGACCATGTGATCGTGCGATTGTGCAGTAGCGCGATCGCTGAGTAATCCACACGTATCTTCTCACGAAATAAGGAAACGTATTTTTTTATTTTCGTATTTAAAAATTCTCCAGGTTGGGCGCCCCTCGAACATGCCACAAGCTCAGCCAATCATCGAAATGGTTCAGCAGGACGCGAAAAGATATCATAGGTAATAGCTTTCTCATATTCTTTTCATATAGCTCTTCGATTGCGGTTCAGTTCATATACTTCTCATTGATGTGTTTTTAGGTGTTATGTTTACGCATACGTCCTTCTAGCAGCGCCTCCTGCGTTAAATGACTATTGACCCCTTCTCGTTTGAGAGAACTTTTAATATGCAGGCTCTACTCAGTTAGACCCATCCCGCTTCACATTCAATTCCGATCAACATGTTTCTATGTTGAGCGATATGTGATTTCAATGCGTTGTGCTCAAAAATACGTTTACCGCTTTTTATTTTACAGAAGCTGTTAAAGTAAAGCGGCATGTCAGTGGAAGACTATCGCTATCAGCCACACTGTTTTAACTAGTAGAGTCAACCAGTGTTTGCATAGTATTCCATTATAAAACCGGAATCATAACGAACAAACAATGATATCTTTGCAATTACAGAGTTTACGTGTCTTCAGTACACCCCGACCTCTCGGAGAGCGATTTGAAAAGTGTGTTCGAGGCGTTTGGAGAAGTGGTCAAATGTCAACTGGCTAGGCAGAGTGCAACTGGAAAGGGAAGCCATCGGTTTGTGATGTTTTCTGTCACACTGTTTGATTTTGTTTGGTGCCATTGTTCGTAAAAGTACGCCCTTCCCGCTCTCCTCATTTTTTATGAGGACTATAATTTGAGATTAATCTATTGTAGACCACCATTTGCTTTTTTGTGGGCGTTAGGTGGGGTCCTTCTTGTTGTAGTACAGGCACTATTTGTCGATATCTATACTATCTTAGGCATAGTATAGCCTGCGACCCCAAAGATCGTGTGTTCCTAACACAGTAACGCATGGGCCCGTATGCAATCCTTCCCCGAAGCTAAGTGATCCAAAGTTTCCTTTAAATTTATTTGTTTTGAACGATATAGTTTCTTCATTTTCAGTGCATGTTTACTTTACCTACATACATACATTAAATGTAGGCCCTTTATCAGGGCAATCCCAGTTGGGAAGACAGAGAAAATTTAAAGGACTTTTCGTCCCCCAACCCTTCGGGGAGGATAGCATACGGCCATGGTCATGTAACACAACAGTCTCGGCCTGAACACAGTGTATCTCGCACCACCAGCTGTCACACGGTCGTGCGATTGCTTGGATGGTATGTGTGCATTCAATACCCGAACTCATGGCGTACTCTAAGGTAGTCGCACGATGTGCCTATGGCCTCATTCTTTGAATCAGCAAATGTAGGGAGCTAATTCATTTATTTCTAATTAATCATTCATTTTTCAATTCACGCTAATTCGCTATTTCATCATTCATTTATCATTCTATGTTATATTTTGTATTAGCAAGTTTTCATTTTCAGAGGATTTGGATACATCGAGTTCAATAACGCTGCAGCAATGAACGAAGCCATTGCAGGAATGAACATGTTCGATTTGGGTGGACAGTTTTTAAGGGTCAGTTTATTTTTTACCTACTACCAAGACATAATATATTTTATTACCAAAATGTTATATATTAAATAGTTAATAAAGAGTTGAAGTTAAATCTCGATACTGTGCTGAAGTACGGATTTTTCTCCAGGTCGGGCGTTGTATAACACCACCTGAAGCCCTAACATATCTGCAGCCGCAGACTCAAGCTGCTTTACCAACTGCTGCTGCTCAAGCTGCAGCTGCTGTAACTGCTAAAGTAATGGCGGCAGAAGCATCAGGGGTGAGTCTTTTTCAATGTTTAG